CCTCAAAACCGAATGAATCTTCCGCTAGAACATGGGAATGTACACTGCCAGACTCGTTTCTATCGCCGCCTGCCACGAAAAGGCAAAAAACGAATCCGAAAAACGGCCGGGCACGAAAAGGCAAAAAAAGAATCCAAAAAACGGCCGGACTCGAACCTCTCAACACAAAACTGAAAAAAAAAAAGACGGCCGCGAACAAAAAACCGCGCCGGGCCCACGGTGCGCCGGGCCCGTTCGGGAAAAAGGTCTCAGCGGGACGCGTTACGCGAGACCCACTACTCCGTTTAAGAAGAGTATAGACGTTCCGAACTTGCGGTAATAGTTGGCCAGACCAAGGAACGATCGTAGTTCAGTCAAAGTAAGCGGTGTCGGCCAATCCCTGATTGCTGCTATTTTAACTCTTCTGGCTTATTTCCATCTCCATCCAACACATGTCCCAAGTACAAAACCTGACGCTTGGCCCATTCGCACTTCTTTAAGTTCAACACGAATTGTGCGTCGCACAACTTACTTAGCACTAAACGTAAGTGCTGTTGGTGTTCCTGTAATGACTTGCTAAAGATCAAAATGTCATCCAAATATACAACAAATTTATCTAACCAATCGCGGAAGAGTTCATTCATGCATCACTGGAAGGTAGCAGGGGAGTAAGTGGCTGCTGTTTGTGTACGTCTGACGTTCCTACATGGAAACCTGTCATCGCCACATTGTGCAAGGGACCTGACTGTCCACAACTTGCCAGAGTGTATCACAGAGCATGCCACATTACCAATCACACAGATTATGAATCATCACACAACGCAAAGTAGAGATGAGATGTGAACCAAGATGCGCAGCTTATATTATCTCCAACACATTATAAGAGTATCTCGAGTTCAAGAACCAACAGCGCGATATGTCTCTCCTTCTCATACAACCACAATGCGAGGCCTGGCTCATCCAGCGCCACCTCGCAACAACAAGTCAAACGCAGAACAGGTATGTTTCCACCATAGCCAACATCGTACACCTGCCCCTTCCCTCTTTCTCTCCCTCAAGATCTCTGTCTCGGTTCTCTTCTCTCATCATGCATGCACACTCCTTCTAAGAGAATCTACTCTGAATGCCACTCACTGAAGACTAATTACTAACCCTCTAACTACACTAACTAGTTGGGGCAGCTATGGCTGCTACTTGCAAACCAGCGCCCAGCCTTCTTCCTCGGTCAAGAATGCCCTAAATTGGCATATAGTGATTGGGCATACACAAATGCAGAACGCACAGTAACGCTAGCACTTATAGCTGACCAAAACCGTGGCCAAATTTTGGTTGAGAATACCATGGTGTAAAAAGTGCATATGTGCCCACAGATGCACACCCACACATACATAGGGCAGCTTTCCCACACGAAATAAAGCTATAATAATAGTCCCTCATTGCAGGGAACGCAGTAATGGAAGCGAGTTCCTTCATCTTGGTGAGACCACGGTAACTCTGCACCAACCCAGCAAAACTCATCCCTCTCTTACTTTTGTAGAATAGTTCATACTAACAATTGTCTGATGAAACAACAGCTCACAGGTGTGTTCACCTCAAGTTTACCTAAACCGACGTGTTTACAACCGAGCTTGCTGAGGATATAAAAAAAAAAGTTTTGAAAGGACGCCGATATACAGTTGCATACCTCCAACTGACACAGAGCATTAGCTGAGAGATTCATCTCACTGCTTCTTGACAGTGGACGAAATGATGATTCCATTGTCAGAATCTGAAAGGAACACCACGCAACACAATGCGACAGAAGCAAGACTTATTTGGGTGAGGTCTCTGGTGGACAAATCTCCATGAGCCCTCAAGCAGTTACCCAGCATGACAGTCTACATGGTCTGCTTGGTTGTCAGAGATCGC